CTGACATTACACTGTCACTTTAAGGCCGGGGTAGCCAAACTCCGGCCCTCCAGCTGCGGTGGAACTACAAATCCCACGAGGCATTGCAAGATTCTCACAGCCACAGACATGACTGCCGGAGAGAGATGCATTATGGGATTTGTAGTTCCACTACAGCTGGAGGGCCGGAGTTTGGCTACCCCTGCTCTAAGGAACCAAGCACGTACCAGGAGCGATGGTAACGACTCTGATCCCGAGCGGAGCCAGATCACGAGCGATGGGCAGCGTCATCCCTACGATCCCTCCTTTGGAGGCCGAATATGCCGCTTGCCCGACCTGCAAGAGAAACATGTCAACATAATTCTGTGTTGTGGTCCATCGAAGTACCCCCCCGCGCAGTACTCAATTTCTGCCACTAGTCTTATGGCCAACGTTACTTAACCCACTTCCTCTGAGCCCGGGTCACCCTGGACCCGCCTCCCCCAGCCTGTGACGGGACAATGAAAGCCGGCCCCCCAGTGTAGATATAAAAGACACTAATGGATGCGGCTCCGTGATCATCAATACGCCACTACATGTGTTTTTTAAAGATGGGTTCCTGGCGCTGCTTCTTCCTCTCACACCCCAGCCCTGCTGTACAGGGGCTGCTGCAAAGGTCACATTCAGGTACCCACACGGATTGCATTTACTGGACAGTGAAAGGAGAAGCAGCACAGCGATGAGGTCATCTCTCGGTCATGCTGCTCTCTCCTATCAGCATGATCCTTGCCAGCTAATGATTGGCTCCTCGTGCTGCTTCTTTCTCTCACGCCCCAGCCCTGCAAGAGGCCGATAGCAGGTACAATTCCTATGAATGATGTATGAATGAGTAGAGCCGCCTCCTTTCAGCTGGAACCATTATGTGCAAGGGGGCCGCCATGAATAATCTTTTTCTGGGTCGTCTCCTGACCTGCCCATCGAAAGCTGCGATGCTGGCCGTGTTGACGATGACCCCTCGGTGTCCATCTTTGTCTGGCTCGTTCTTCATCATCTCTCCTGTGGCCAGGCGAATGACGTTGAACGTCCCCGCGATGTTCACCTGAACGACCAATGAAAAAGCATCATACGGACCATCTGACAAACAAAGATCTGAGAAAAAGCTTCTCATTGTCCAGTGGGGTCAGATGACTGCCCTGAACCAATGAGTGCTTGCCATTTGCGAGCCTTATTCAAAATGTTTCAGTGCTGTGTAAGGACCATAGACCGGCTGCCGTGGGGGAGAGGAAGGTGGTATGACCAGCGGAGGTTGGGGAGAGGGGGCAGATTTTGGGGGGGTAGTTTCATTTTCTCACATTTGTGGAATTACCCTTTAAAAGGGGAACCTCACCCACCAATTTAACGTCTCCCAAAACAGCTACTTTCAAATCACGCCATCTGTCAAGGTTGCTTATTGCAGCTCTCAACCAAACTTTGATGCACTCAAATGGCTGGGGGGGTCATAGCTGATCACATGTGCAGCGCCATGGCGACTGCTTTCCAAACAAGAGGCTAAGATGGCGCCTTCCTTGGCTGTAAAGCAGGGGAAGCCAAACTCCGGCCCTTTGCTGTGGTGGAACCACAAATCCCATGAGGCATTGCAAGATTCTCACAGCCACAGACATGACACCTGGAGAGAGATGCATCATGGGATTTGTAGTTTCACCACAGCTGGGGGGCCGGAGTTTGGCTACCCCTGCTGTAAAGGATTGGAGGGTGTACTTCTGTTTTAAGTCAGCTCTCAACCAAACTTTGATGCCTTCAAATGGCTGGGCTCATAGCTGATCACATGTGCAGCGCCATGGCGACTGTAATCCAAACAAGAGGCTAAAGGTGCCCATACACTGCTCGATTCTCGTACGAGAATCGCGGGAAATCCCGCGATCGTACGATAATCGAGCAGTGTGAACGAAGACGTGCGACCGTTTCTACTGTACGGTCGCACGTCTTTTGTCTAAGGAGCACGCTAGAAAACCAGCCGAGAATCGTACGATTTTCGGCTGGTTTGAACGGTGCTCGGGAGACAAATGCCAAACGGGCCGGTGTGCGCACGCGCACACTGCCCGTTCAGCATTGCGGTCAGGGGGCCGCGGCTTGCGATGATCGAGAGTGCGATCTGCCTGTCCAAGATGGGCAGATCGTACGTTTTTTTAATTACTTTACAACCATCGCAAGACTAAGGTCTTGCGATGGTTGTAAAGTGTATGGCCACCTTTAGATGTAAAACAGGGTTAGCCAAACTTCTGTCCTTTAGCTGTTGAGGAACTACAAGTCCCATGAGGCATTGCAAGACTGACAGCCATAGGCATGACTCCTAGGGGCAGATGCATGATGGGATTTGCAGTGTCACCAGAGCTGGAGTGCTGCAATTTAGCTTCCCCTGCTGTAAAGGATAGGAGGGTGTAGTTCCATTGAGCGCCTGGCCCGCGTTCTGCGCTGGAGTCCGGATTCACATATTTGCAGGGCCTAACCGCGCACACGTTAACGTGCGTTATATCAAATCTGTGGCAAGGTAAAATGCAGGTGCCGATCAAAATCGGCATGGCAACCGTAGTACAAGGAGGAAACCCACACAACCACAGGGAGGACATGCAAACTCCATGCAGACCGGGATTCGCACCGGGGACCCCCAGCGCTGCAGAGGTGCTCACCACTCACCACCCAACCGTCTGCTGTGCAATGAACTCACGTTTATGACTTTTTGGAACTCTTCCAGGTTGTGCGGCTTCATCTTGCTCTTGTTGAAGGTCTTAATGGCGACGGCAATCCCGGCGCAGTTCACCGCGACGTTCACCCCGCCGAACTTGGAGCGGGCCAGTTCCAGCGCACTGTTCACGTCCGACTCAGAGGTCACCTGCGGGGCAGCAGCAAAGAAAACTTTCATCGGGCCGCAGTGTGGAATGAGGCGCAAAGCTTATTCAATATGGCCGCATGTAGATGGTGGAAGAGCCAGTAACTCATAGCTCGTCCCAGCTACGGCCCGCCGCTCTGTAATGTGCTGCCCCCCTACTGGTCAGAGACGCATGGCACACTACACTGGGGGATGCCGGGCGGTTACCAGAGCTCTGACTTGAAGCTGGAGATCTGCATCCGTACCTTTGGCGAGCTGGGGAACACATGATAAAATACAGTATGATGGAAGGAGGGGGGGGGAGGAGTTAGGTGATCCCAATGCAGTAAAGAGGAATAGAACTGGTGTAAGCTCTCAAAGTAGGGATGGACCGATACTAGTATCGGTGCTGAGTATTTGGGGCGAGTACTCATGCTCCGATGCCTAGCCCAATACATCCGGTATCAGGAAGCCGGGCAGCGTGTAATGACTCGCTGCCTGGCTTTCTGATTGGCCAGAAAGCCAGCTCCATGCTTTCTCGTCACTTAGTGATGAGAAGCATGGGGACGACTTCCCTGCTGATCGGGAAGCCGGGTGGCGAGTCTTTCAATGGCGCACAGCTTCCTGGCTAATCAGGATTCCTTATTGGGACTTCCGGTATCGGTATTCGGTATCGGCGAGTACCGGAAAAAAATATACATCAGTACTCAATGCCGAAAAAACGGTATCGGTGCATCCCTATCTCAAACTTTTGCAGATCAAACAAATACACATCGGCCAGCAAAGTTTTTTTGTACATGTTTGCCCCAATCACTTACACTCATCATGTTTTCAAACGGCTCCGACTCTCTCAGCTCGGCTTCCCGGAACTTCCTGTCCAGTACAAGCTCGCAGGGGAGAGAGCGGTCTCCAGCAGCCGTCCCATCTACTAGCTTGGGGGAAGGGAAGAGCAGGGAGTAGGGGAGTGGCTTGCCTTGCCGTGCCTGTGTGTTTGTGGAGACATACCCAGCTTACTAGCACGCACAAGGGTGGCTCCATAGGACCCTGCAAGGGAAATTACCGCACCCCCCCCCCCCAAAACCAGAAC